TTTGATCATATCCACATTCTCACGATTCTCAGTAAGATCAAGAATGACACAAGCTATTTCTTCGTCTATTATGCAACTGAAGTTTGGTTTTATGTACATCTCAAATTCACATGCAAATCCACTTTTGAGTGTCACTATTTTTGGTTCAGTTCGGAGGACAAATTGGTCACTGCCTTGTTTAATTATTATCTGCATTTTTACTGGATTTTTACTGCAATTGCCAACACATAAAAGTTCTCGTGTTTCTTTGTCGATTGGTATTTCATTGGTGTTTTCTCCTTCAAAAACAAGTGGATTTTTGTTCGTGCAAATTTGCTTGTCCAATTTGACAAAAGAAATATTTGACTTCTTCATATTAAAAACACAAATCTTTTTATCAACTTTCTTTTGTTTTAAGTATAAACGGAGTAAGTATATTGTAGGTATTAATATTATAATTGCAACTACACATAGAAATATGAGTACCAAAATTGGTATTAAAACTGATATCAGTGCGTTGTTTACACAAGTAGTACCATCAGGCGATGGTTTCTTACTTGGGGAACAATACGCACAAATACTATTTTTAGCTCTTTTACAGTGTGCAACTTCTGTATAATGGACACAATTTCCATTGATTAAAACGAAGTCAGTTTTGCATGAATAACAATTCATAGGTGAAGAACAGTTGAAACATGTTTCTGGGCATTGTTCACACTTGGGGATTGTATATTGAATGTAATACCCAACTTCGCACTTTTTACACCCCTTTTGTGTTTTTGTAATACAGTTTGTTAATAACGAATAATCTTTACATAAAAGTCCTTCACTTGGAATATTATAATAATTGTCTTTGCAAGATATACAACTTGTTTTTACTAAGCATTTTGCACACGAAGTATCACATGATACACAATCATTTTTATCTTTGTAATACCCATCCTTACACACGGCACATCTTTTTTCTTTAGGAATCATGTATTTACATCGTAATTGTAATGCACTTGATAACTCACATTGATTTTCGTAATTCAAAAAAGAAGTTGAAACATCACACGATAAACAATAAGTTGTGTTAAAACATTCGAAACAGTTGGAATCGTTATTATTACATGATACACATTCATTCAAACTATTTAAATAATACTGTGGATAACATTTTAAACATCCTTTTGGACTATTATCTTGACAATTTCCATTAGACAACTTGTGAAATTCTTTTATGTTAATTTTATAAGTATAATTACTAATGTTATGTATTTGGTATTTTTTATTTGTGTTTCTAATTATATAGGGATAATTTTTCAAATTAATAACACTTTTCATTGTTACAAATAAAGTTTTTAAACATTTATTATCTATTAAATTGTAATTGGAGAAACATTCCAAATTTTTTATTATGCTATTTTGATTGTTACTTGTGTGAAGCGAATATTTGACATTTTGAGTATTATAAACACAATATTTGTTATTTATCGAACTGTCATCATTTCTCGAATAACCTTCATAACACTTGATACAAGTAACGCCATTTCCATAATAACAATTGAGATAAGCAATACTTACACATTTGTTATTCACAATCAAATAATCTGTTTGACATTTTTCACACAAATTTTCTTTGTATTTTATACATTTTTCTATAAAAGAAAGCACACAAGAATTATTTTGTTTTTTATAATTTGTAACATTCGAATTGCATTGAATACAATCATTCATTGTATATATTTCACAATTTTTGTCATTAAAACAGTTTTTAGTTGCATTATAATAACTTAATGCAAAATTTGGGGAACATAAAAACGCAGTATTTTGATTGTTTGTAAAAGTGCATATTTCTGAATTGAAAATTATCAAATTGCACAAATGACAGACATTGTTTTTGTCAACAAAAGAATTATTACCACAATATACAAAGTTTTCATTAATTACAATAGTTTTTAGATCAACTGGAATGCATGTAAGACCATCAGTTGATATATATCCATCATTACACATTAGACATTTTGTCACTGAACTCAGTTTACCATAATATTTACAATAAGGTAACGAGAAGTTGCAATATCCGTTTGATAATATACCATTGCCACAGTCTTCACAATTCACTTTCGATTGTGAATGACAGTTTATATCCAAATTTGATACACAACTTCCATTTCTAAGATAATACTTAGACCTGCATTCAAGACACAATTCTGGAACATTTTGAGTTACACAATTGGTGATTTTTTCAACGCAAATTTTTAATTCTAAATTGTAAACTTGATTATTTGAACATTTTAAACATGTATTATTAATCAAGACATAAGGAGAAAAACACTCATCACACAACGAAGAATCGTCATTTAATACGGTGTTAAAATGGCACAACTTACAATTGTTTTTGTTTAAAAAGCATTTTGAACACGTCAAATTTTTGACTTGATAATACCCCAATTTGCATTGACAAGCATTATTAATCAAATTAAAAGTGTCTAGACATGAATTACATTTCATTTCATTTTGAGAACATGTTACACATCCATTGATATTATTACAAGGAAAGCACTTCCCCGAAGATAAGTAATTACCAATAACACACTTGGTACACGCACGGATTGTGGGTTCACAACTTTCACAATATGATATCTTGTTACATTTGTTACAAACACCATTTTCAAAGAAATAGCCAGTTACACATGAAAGACACTTACCATTTGTTTTATCACAATTTAAACATCCCTCTGTTTTTGAACTACAAGTGAAACATGTGTTACTACTGTTATAGTAATTATCAGCACATGTTAAACATTCTTTTTTGGTTGGTTCACAATCTTTACAACCATTTATCGTTTGACAAGAATAACATTTATTGTTGTCCAAGTAATACCCTATAATACACTGGGAACATTTACCAAAAATTGAACAATTTAGTGTTTCACAATTGCTTGTACAAGCAACGCCTTTTATTTTGTTTTTATTTATGTGTTTTTCAGTAGCAATGGCTAAATTGGTATTATAACGTTTTTGATTGCATGCCGACTTATCATGCAATTGAATAGTAAAAGAAACAAATTCTGTCATGAGTATTAAAAGGTATATCATAAATTCGTTCTAAGAGTTTTTTGTCTGTTATCATTGTTAAAGATTTTATATTGTAAAAAACAAAGAGGAATCGCCAAAACATTTTAAAACTAAATGAAAACAAAATTGTAATAAAATAAAAGTGTGTACCATTAAAGTATTAATACCAAATAAATTAAGAATTATCAAACTGGTTCACTTTTTAAATTCATTGATGGGTTTCATAAAATTAAAATATTATTAAAAATCCTTTTTACAACACAACGGAATGATTCAATTAACAATATAACATATAAAAAATAGAAATAAACTAAATATTTTTCAGAGAATTATGTTTTGTTGTAATTTAAATGTTTTTGTTTTTTGATGTTATTATAATATATTATTATATAATGTAATAATAGTAAAATATTATTTATTTTGCATTATTCAAAAAATTAACATGTTTTAAAACAATAACAGTAAAACCTCCCAAAAGCGGAACTTCTGAAGAGCAAGCATTTCAGACTTAAACTAAAAACAGATTTCTCTTTAAAGCTTCAATTAAGGTTTGATTGGCTAAAAATGAACACTATTGAAAGGTTTTACAGTATTTTTCTAAAATACAATAAAGTATGTCTGTAAACAATAATAAAAATATCAAAGGTGTCATTTATTAAAAAAATATTTTTCAATAATTTCAAAAAAATAAAAATTACTAAAAAATATTGTTTTGGATTTTTACAAAAATCACAAGTTTTTTATTTAAATTGGAATATTATAATGCTCTTTTTGATAAACATCATGAAAAAAAATGTAAGAGTTAGTTTACATAATTTAACAAAATTAGATATTGTTTTTTGTTTAAACTTTTATCAAAAATAAATAAATGTTTTTCAAACGTCAAATATCTGCAATATTTATAATATTTCAATTCAATAATTCCAAGCCCAAAATAATAAATGTTTTTTTGATGTAATGAAACAAATTATATGCAAAATAAAACCAGTGATGAAAACGTTTCAAAACAAACATTATTACAAAGTTTATTTTTGGTTGGAATTAAAATATTTTCGTTTTGGTCCAAAAACAATTAAAACATCCAAAAAGATAGGAAGTACACTTTTAATTTATTATTTTAATGTATTTTTCATTTTTATTGATGTTTTTATAAATAATGATGACAAATATTTGATTTGTATTAATTTTTGAATATATTATTTAATTTATTTAATCACATGTTTAATTTAAATAATTTGAATTTGTCTCAAAAAATTATTAAAGGTTTGTATAATACCAACATTTTGATATTAATCTTCAAATTAAAATAGCCTTGAAATTTGTTACAAATATTTTGGTTGGCAATATTATTTTAAAGTTATAAACATACAACAAATGGAATAAAACGTGAGGTAAATTTATATTAATATAGTAAAATAAATTACAAGTTATTTTTTATATTAAAAATTATAACAAAAAATAATATTTAGTGAACAAAAGAAACATCAAAAAAAATAATTTAATACCTAAAAAACAAAGTTTTAAATTAATTAAATATGAGACTATTATACAATTCAATAAATAATATTTTATAATTAAACAGTCAAGTTGAAACAAATGTATTGTTGGTGTAATTTTTCAATTAAATATTAGTAGTTTATTAAATTATTATAATGATATTTTTTATATTTTTAGTGTAACTATTACAAAAGAAATATATAAAAACTTTTTGTTTTAATGTGTATAAATAAAAACAAAAATTTATCAAAGAAGTTACATTATATAATTTCAAATTTATGAAAATGATTAATACCAGTTTAAATTTATTTCTTGAATAATACTTCCATTTTAATTAAATTGAGATATGACATGACATTCAATATAACTTAGATATTTCTTTTGAATTATAAATTAACAAAAAAATATTAAATAATAAAATGTATATAAAAAATGTAACACATTAAAAAACTTAACAAATAAAAATAAATGAATTACTTCTTAGCTTTCTTCTTCTCTTTTCTCTCATGAGCAGTCTCTTCATGTTCTGTATGAATGATAGAAGCAAGTGCATAAGATTTTGTTGGTGTTGGGTTGTCATCAGTTTGGAATCTCTTTCCACTTGTTTTTGCTCCATTTCTCTTTCTTGGTTTAGTAGCCATCTTTACGAATTGAAAATTTGATTCCAACTCACCCTTTATATATGTTATTCATTTTTGTGGTCCATTTCTGGGAATCATATTTTGTTCTATTGATATATTAGTTGTTATTTCAATGTTTATTTTGAATGTTAGGACTTCTTTAAATCGTTGAAAAATGATTTCCAAATTTGTTAGGTGATTTGGTTTAATAAGGCATTCTCCATCTATCAAAATATTGTTGACTTTTCAAAAGAATATAAATTAATTAATTATTAATAATTTTTTATTATTAATGAAAAAAGTTTTATTAATATTTTTATGATTTTGGAATATTTAAAGACTCCAAATTTATTAAGTTTGAGGTTTCAATGTTTGTTATTATATGTGATTAAACTACAAACTTATTAAAATCTTTATAGATAATTATATAATAACAAAATTTTTTATTAAAAAGTTATATTTTTGATATGCATGACATTACACAAGCCAAATAAAGTTAAATTCAATGAAAACAACCACAATTAAATATATATATCTTGAGAACATGTTCACCAAAAACTGGGCATTATTTTAGGTGTCAATTTTTATAAACTTTTTATTACAAAAACTTTTTATATTGATCAAATATTATAAAGGATCATGATAACAAACTGTTATTATAGGGATAAAAATTATTTAAAAAAAATCACTATTGAGAAGTTCTATTTTTGTTAAATTTATTCGTGTTAAATTTCGTTGTGTTTTATAATTGATTTACTTACACTACAATCACTTAGCCTTGTGTTAAACTTGGCCTGGTGCAAGACTTGTATTTACGACTTTTAGTTTATAAAAACCATTTAAAAAAATAAAAACTTAAATAGATTTTGGTGTTTTTTAGTTTGAAATAATTATCAAACTGAATAATTAATTATTTTAATTAGTAATCAACTATAAAAATCTCATATCAAGCAGAGTGTCCATATTGTAATTAAAAATTAAAATTAATAATTATTCAGATTTAATATACAACAAAGACAATTTTTTATCGATTTTTAAAGCAACTTTCGAAATAATAAAATATAAAATTAATTTTGATAATAAAATAACAAACCCTAAAAACCATTTATCTGATTTAATTTTTATTTTTTTATTATATTGATTGTTGGTAGCAACAATACACCATTATTTAAAATGTAAAATTGTCTTTTGTAAAATTTCAAAAGACAAGTAACTTAAAAAATGCTCTAATGATAAATTGTCAATATATTTATTATACAATATATTAATATTGTATATATCAATAAAATATAATATACAAGGTTGATTATTGTATTTAAATAAAAACATTGTAAAATATAACTAATAAAGAGGTTAAAACAACATCATTTTTTTAGGTTTCAAAGTGAATTTTATGTATTTAACATTCTTAATAATATTTACCAATATTTTATAACAAACAACTTTAATACTAAATTTTGTTTTAAAATATTAATAAAAGTCAAGTGTAAATAAAGTTGCAACATATATTATTCTTATCGTGTATTAAAATATTAAAATAAAAAAACAAGGTAGTGAAAAGTAGATGTGTTATTTTTACAATGAAAGTTTGTTATTTTTTCTGTGTTATGAATATTTTTATAATAAAGTTATAACTAACCAAATTACTTTTGATTTTTTTTTGTAGAAATGTTTATTATCAGTTTGGTTGCAAAAAATAATAAGTTTTCTTACAACCAAAACAAAAAAGGTTGTCGTGGATAAATTTGGTCCTTGTAATGTTTTGTTTGTATTGTTTTTATATGATTGATCATTGGCAATTTAAATAATTTTTTTAGTAATAAAATTACTTGTAATTTTTTTCCAACTTAACATTTAAATTTGTTTTGAAACGAATGATAAAGGTTTATAAATTTAAAATTAAACCAAGTTGTTTTTTCCATGTGTTGTATTTTCAATTCTTGTTAACTCGTAATAACATGGAATTATCTTTAAATGACGTTTTGTCTTCAAATCAAATAAAACCAATTATTTGGTTTGAAAAAACAAGTAAAAAAGTCAAAAACGACTTTTTTATTTACACTTTAACTTAAATTGTAAATATATTTAAATTAGTGTTAATATATTTTGAAAATGCCGTTTTATTTATAAAACAATATTCTTTTACACACCTCGTTATAATTTATAGATACAACACAGGAATTTTTTATCACATATTTCAAGAAAACTGGCATACAAAAGTATTTTTTGGAATACATTCGAAACATAAATATTCAAAAATAAAATAGAAAATGACAGGTAACTCTATACAGTAAAACCTCCCAAGAGCGGGAGGGCGTGGGAATTTTGTTCTCTCAAGAGCGGGCATTTTTAGCCAATCAAACCTCAATTACCGCTCGATAGAAAACTCTATTTTTAGTTTTAGTCTAAAAAATGCCCGCTCTTCAGAGGTACCGCTCTTTGGAGGTTTTACTGTATATGGTGTTGTAATAAAAAAAAGACCCTTTAAACTTAAAAACGACAATGGCTTTTGAATTAAAAAGCACAGATAAAAGGCGTTGTGTTGATGAACGAACTTTACTTTCCAACCTACAGTGCTCACTCCTTGCTTTTCTTGCAATGAAGTGTGATATCACTGTTGGCAAACAAAAAAAGAACAGCCAATACAGTCGCAAATTTATGAACATCAAGCAGATCCTATTTCACAAAGACCAGCCATTCATATTTAATGTTCAAACTTTTTTGACTAAGAGATGCCTTGAAAAGATGGCTTCATTTGAAGGAGATGGGGTGAGTCAAAGAACAGCATTACGAAGAGCGTTGAATGAAAAGAAACGAGATAGTCTACATATTTTAGAAGACATTTTAATAGAAGACGGGTTGGTGACAATTTATGAAGTCGAAAACAGAGAGGGAATAAGAGGGAATGTGTGCATTAAACTACCTGATGGGTCAATTGTGAATAAAAAGATGATTGAAAAACTTGGGGAAAGTATTTGGATGTATTGTGAATGTGAACTGACAAATAAAAGTAAAGTTGTTCTTGATAAAGAACTTGTTATGACTTTAATTCAAAATGCGTGTAATTGATTGGTGTGTATTATGTGAAATATATTTATTAAAAAATAGGGTTGTAATTAACAAGTTAATTTTTCATAGTATTATTTGTTATTCTTACAACACTAATAAATATATAAAATAATATGTAAAACCAAAACAAATGTATTATCAAAATTTGTTTAATTGATTCAATAGTCAATGTTGTAATATATGACAATAAGTTACAACATTGACTATTTTGTTGTAATAGATTTTTGTCGTAATAGTTGTTCATTTGTTTTATTTTTTGTAAATAATGTATTATTTTTGAAACAATAGAACAGTTATTCAGTGATTTGATCAATATTATTTAAATTAAAACACTGTGATAATGTTGTTAATTAGTCATAAAAGTCTATTGACACTATCCATGACAATTAGTAAAGTAGTCTGTTAAAGTTGTGTTTTTGTAATTGAATTGTATGTTTGTAAAATAATTCATTATTATAAAAAAAGATATTTATCTTATTTTATATTTTTTTATGTTATTATGTTTAAAAATTACTCTGGTTATGGTTATTTTCAATGATCAGGAAATATTGTACAAATCCCAATCATTATGATAAAACCTCAACTTTATCACTTTTTGTTCGTTTTTTGGTGCTATCATATGATCTTGTTTTGTGCCAGAAAGTTTAGCCTTTGTCAATCATTATTCTATTAATATAACAATTTTCAATTATTTAGTTTATTATTATTAATAATTAAAAAAATCCTTTTTGTGTGTAATATTTACAATATATTACACATTCATTTTATTTGAAATATAAAATCTATATGTTTTAATTATGAAGAATATATTTTCAAATGAATCAAAATTGTTTTTTTAGGTACAGTTTATTTATTTATTTATCGTGACAATAAGTATAACAGTAAAATAAACAAGAACAAATTTTAATCACCACATTTTGATTTTTTTACTATTTTATTGGTTGATGTTCAGTTTAGATGTAATAATTAGAAATAGCTCCAACCAATACGATTTAAAGAGTCAAATTTTTGTCCAATTTGAACATATTAAAAACATTTATTGTTCAGTCAAATTTTATGTGTGAAAATTTATTCTGTTTTTTTAGTTTGTTTGATACTAAAATCACAAGTGTACGACAATTTTCTTGCTGTATGATTATTTTCTGTTGGTCTTTATAACTATTTAATTGGTTTATAAAACATGAAAACCAATAAAGAAATAAATAAAAATATGTTAAATTTCTGTTGTTTTGATTTTTTTATTTGTTTAAAAAATAAAAACAACGTGTTTTTGTATTTATTACTTTAAAAATATGACTGACATGTTTTCAATTAATTAAGCATACTTTTAATGCATTTCAAATGTAAATATTATACTTCGAAAAAGATTATAGAAGACATGGATTTATATTTGATGTGATATTATTAGGTTATTTCAGTATAAGGTTGATAATAATAACAGTAAAAAATATCCAAACGATATACATTTATATCAACACAGGTTTTATTTGCAAAATGTTACAATAAAAAAACAATTCAAATGGTTATAATTATTGAGTAAAAATAAAAGAATTTGATTATGTATAAAATAGTTGCAAAATTAATGTATGTTTTTAATTGGTTTTGTGAAACGATAAATTACAAAACGTTTTTAAACATTCTTCTGACTGTTCATAAGTAACATGTGTTTATAATAACATTGTTATTTGAAAACAGTTGTAATTTTGATTTTTTTTCAATAATAGTGAAACATATTAATTTATTGTAAATTATGGGGTAATAATAATTAATAATTATAAATAAGAATAACATTATAATAGTTTAACGATTAAAATCATTAATAAAAGATATGCGATTATGTAATGGATTCATAAAGATGTATTTACGAATAGAATTTAAACACATTATTACTTCTTTATATAATAATACAATTATAAATTATATTACAGTATAAGAAGCTATTTCTTAATTAATTAAATCTTAATATTTAATTGGAATATTCATTATCAATATTATGGGGTTTATTTTTCTTGCAAATTAGAATTATAAATTATTTAAAATTAAATAATAACAATAGTATTGATATATAATTATATTATTAATATATTATATTATAAATATTATTTTTGAATTATATAAATAGTAAAGTTAACTTTTATCTTATATAATAAAATTATGATATTTATTATTATTAATAATCAAGTTGACTTTTTTTTAAAATTAATTGGTCGTTTTTATAATTTGTAACTTTTTTAATTAATTATTTATAATAAAATTTACTAAATATTTAACTTTTATTGATTTGTTAGTAATTATTATAATTATAATTGTAATTTAGATGTAATTCAACAAATTAAATAAGAATAGTATTTATTATTAATTATTTTAATTAATTTAATAATTTTTTTTGTGACAAACAATAAAAAAAATAACACAACTTGAACGAAAAAAAATAAATTTGATAAATATTTTTATAGTTGTTATATTATAAATTATAACCAACTTATAGTTTGTGTATTTCAAAATCAAATTTGCTTGAAAAAGGAACGAACAACTTTAATTAATTCCAAGTTTTAAAAACACATAACAAACAAAAAGACAAAGGGTTCCACATACAATAATTAAACAATAAGCTGTTTATAATATTTTTTCACCACATTTTGATAAAAACACAAACTCTTTGATACAAATACAATGGGCGATCCTTTTGAATATTTCAAGGACAACATCCCAAATTTGAATGAACGGCTTGTCACACTACAAAGAACAATTGTGGAACATGTTACGTCACAACCCCTTCTGTTCCCAGATAACATCAACAAACTTTCACTCAACGATCAAATAACAGAATTAAACAAGTGTCTCGATTTAGAAGTTGCAAGAGAAGACAAGTTCAACAAAATGAAACTCGAAGTCACTTTAACATACGCAGCTTTAGAGGATTTGTTTGAATTAATGAAAGCAACCAAAGAGAAGTGTGACAGTGAAGGAAAGATGATTGAGGACTTTCGCAATGCAATTTTGAAAATGTTAATAGACAAGGAAAGGTGTCGACTCGACAAAGAAATCAAGACGAACACGTTCAGGAAGTCACAACTTCAAGTTGAGTTCAGAGAACGGGAGAATGAGATTAAAAGGAAAATGAGTATGAAAGTAGTCGAACCCCAACACGCCGCCACTTTCAAGACCATTCCACAATCATCCAAACCAATACCACAACCTAAAAATATGAACACAATAGAAGTAACAACTCAATTAGAAGGTAATGCAAAGACCGGAAGTGTCAACACCGACACTTCTGAAACAATTGACAGTCCAGAAATCATCTTAGAGGAACAAAAGAAAAAAACACAGAGATTTGAGAAACGGCGCATATTCAAAAGAAGTCGAAATGACAAGGAAAAAATTAGGGTATTGGAGAAATCTCAAATAGATGTGGAGAAAAACAAAGAACTCGACAACCCTATCAAATTGGAAACTGTTCAAGAAAAAGACGAAAAATGCAATGAAACAAAGAATGAAATCAAACATGAAGTCATTCCATTCCCAAAAATAGAACATGACGGCATCTATGACAAAATACTAATGAAGCAACAACCACAAAACGATATTAAAAATAGAACAACTGACACTGAAGGAAAGTCAAAGCCGACAGAATTGATAAGTAAAGAAATAAATGACCGACTCAAGAATCAAAGTGACATAATAGAAATGAAGAGCGAAACAATTAATACACCAAATAATTTAATAAACACAGTGGACGTGTTAAATGCAGCAGAGAAAAACACACCAAAAAGAAATGAGAAGTTTGAGGAATTTGACAATCTCCCAAAAGACGAAGAAAAAACGAAATTACACACCGCGCCAGTTTTAATAGAAGAAAAGTTAAAGGACACCAGTGAGACTTCTTTTGCCGACAAAGATGAGTTACTCTACTTTGACAGCAACATGTATGAAGGCACCAAAAAGACTTCAAATAGCACAACAAACAGTTCAGAATCGGTATCAAAGAAACACAATTTAGTGATACGCATTCCATCCTCAAAACCCCTTCTAATCGCCTCCCCAAAACCAACGCAAACGAGTCGGACTGAAAAATCGGAGAAGCCGAAAATGAGTCGAAGTGTCCGGACGTCTGAAGGGAAGTACGATGAGAATTTTTTGAGTGCAAAAGAGAAGCAGAAGATTTCTGAGTATTGCGGTGAAGCACTTGGAAAGGTCTTCTACGACTCTCAAATCAATCCATGTGGAAGAGGAAGTAAAACGTTCTTCTTGCGAGCTACAGAGTGCGGCAATGGCTTTGTCATCGTGATCGACGACATCAAAGGAAATCGTTTTGGAGCAGCCATTTTCAGTAGAATTCTTCATATAGCTGAACCAGTCAAAGATAAAAGGGCGTTTCTCTTCACATTGAGAACAAAAGACGAGATAGGAGAGACTACTGAGAAAGTCGAGTTCTTCAGAATTAAAGCGAATAAGGCGGAATACGCTTTCTATGTCGGAACACTCCAAGGGAAACGACTCTTTGATATTGGAGACGGTGACATCATGCTACTCAAAAGAGAGAAAGGAAAGCTGATGGTCTACTGCGAACAAAAC